CGTTTTTAAGTTATCACTGAAAAACTTCAAAACATACTGTTTTTCCAGAATGGGAAATCTTCAACATTTTCTGTTTTTAAAATTTGGTCATTTTAAAATGAGTATTTTATATATTTAAGTGCATACCTATTTGGTGATTTTTTAAAGCTACAATAGTCATCCGCCCTACTGCCCTATAGGCAATATAAAGCTACCAAAATACCATCATTAATAGCGGAAAACATAACTCATAGTTAATTTACAATTTAGATTTTAGATAATATAATAACTAATAAGCATATTACTTTGTCCCATGGCAAACTACGTAATCGTCACTATACTCATAATAGTAAAGTCATTACGATTATTATAGTCATTCCGATCGATAACTTAGTTTGTGAAACAAATATTGTTTTTGACGTTTTTGTTCAGCTTATAAAATTTATTTAGTGAAAATGACATCGATTATTGAAATTTACGAAATGTTTGAATGTTAACCGAATGGCTCGCTGTCCATGCCGATTATTTCCATTTTACAGTCCTATGGGGCCTTATGCCCTTATTACAAAAAACTTAAGAACAATATAGGTCATTAACTAATTAACTAAATGTAATAAAGGCCACTTTTTAGTATTGTGTCCGAGTACAGTCTACCTATTGTGGGGTGTTGACCAGTTGCCCCCCACGGCTGTTATCGGGATTTTAAAAATATACCAGTTGCCCTCAACCAAATGTACCAGTTGCCCTTAAATGCTAATATATACTACATACACGATTTCTATATATAGCCCTTAAAATAGGGGAGGTAAATATACAAAAAATAAATAAAATAATTTAAAATAGTATGAAATGATAGAAAAAAATGTATATATGTTTGGAATATATACCTAATAATATTGTATTTTGTGATAAATAATAATTACTTACAAAATAATATGAATAAAATAATAAATATTATAAATATTTATAATTATGTGATTTCGTATATTGATATTCAATGTTATAATTTTTCAACAAAAAAAAATAGTTAATAAACTAGATATAATAATTACTATTTATAATTATTATTTATATATTTACTTCCCCTATTTTACGGGCTATATATTTAAATCGTAGGTATATATATTTACTTATGATTGCAACTGGTACATTTGGTTGAGGGCAACTGATACATTTTGCCCTAGGTACCTAATTTGGGGGGAATTGGTATAAAAAAAGGTACTTGTTCAGGGGGCAACTGGTACATGCCCCTATTGTGACGGTTTTGCTTGGCGTTGTAAACAGTCGTATAATATCCTAATAACCACAAAAAAAAGTTAAGTGTGATTTTTACTAGTCAATTCGAAAATACCCTTTTTCTTTCAAAATCTCACTTGTCAATATATACAATTGTGAGTTGTGACACTTGCTTATATTTTGTGAACTGAAAAAGTGTCCCTTGAATTTATTCGACATCCAATTAATATTGCTCGGCAATCAACTTTTGATTGGGCGCCCTTCCACCGAGAAGTCGTATTTGATGGGATGATATTACGACACCAAAAAATAGGTAAGTAGAAGATTAGGTACCTAGGTACTCAATTTATTTTAAAACAGTCCGAGCGAGTGCAGCAAGAATCCGGCCGCGTACTACAATATTACCTAATGTCATCATAGTTTAAACTTAAATTTCCACATATCCACAGTTGTTTTGACCCTGTTACCTACTTGAGGTGGCTTTCCATGGAAATTGCACTTTAACAGTTTTGCATAACAAGTAGAGGGATTTTTTTCGATTTGTGGAGTGACGATACATGGGTAATCAGTAATCAGTTTCTTGACTTCTTGTTATTATTGCCATCGACGGTATTACGATAATACGAGACGCTGCATGGGAGCTTGCACTGTACATCGTTCTCTACTAGCCATAATGAGCATATTAAAATTAATTATATCTATTTCCCCATCCATTTTAAAAATAAATTAAAATTAACTTCGTAGAACTGTATTTCAAAGGTTCAATCCGTTATTATAAATATTATGTCATTATATTGATATAGATCTAATATTACAAAAATACTAAAAAATAATTTTTTTTTTTTATTTATTCTCTAAAAATGTTTCAGCACACCAGGTGCTATTACAAATATATTTACAATTATGATTTAGCCTTTACATTTAAATTGATGATAATAATGATATAATATATTAGTTCATGGTAATAAGTTTGAATTTATGTCGTATGTGATAATAATAGTAATAACAATATTTATACAATATAATATACCTAGTAATATTAAAAGTTTTGGTTTATTCTTCATTTCTGATGAGGGCTCTTCGTTGTCCGATGGGGGTATGTCTTGGGGCAGTCGAGGTTTTAGCCACCTATTTTGGGTTTTGTTTCCTAGTTGGTAGTGACGGCCGCCGTCCGATTCTTTTAACTTGGCATGAAAGTTTTTGAATTGGGTTTTTATCCAGGTACTTATTAGGGGTATTCCGGTGTCGTTATGGATTTGGCGATTCCTCATATACCATGGTGCTTTTAGGGAGATCCTGAGGAATTTGTTTTGGAGAGTTTGGATTTTTTTAATTTTCGTGGGTGAGGTTGCCGCCCAAACAGGGCAGGCATATGTTAATAGCGGTGTGCAGATTATTGAGGTATATAGGAGGAGTGATGACTTGATTTGTAGTGTTGAATTGTAGTTTACTAGAGGGTAAAGAGTTCTCATCCTTGTATAGCCCTGAACAAGTTTTTTGTAAATATGAATTTAAAAAATAATAAAAAAATTATATTTATCAAGAAATGTATCTAGATAAATGTATTGTTGTATTTATCTTTATCTAGATAAATTACATTTATGTTATCATTATTTTTATCTTGATAATATTTTGTTAAATTTATCTTATCTTAACTAGATAATTTTTTAGTTATCTATTCCCAATACTGGTAATCACTGATAGATTCATGATATTTTTGCCTCCCGAATTTCAACTCATCCACATCAAACAATAATCTCTTCACCATCCACATACAAAGTATTTTTAAGAATGATGCACTTATAATAATTGTCTCAAAATGTATTTTGGTTGGGCAGTGATTAGGCGTGTATTGGAAAATGTACCGCGAATCTAGGGAAAAAAATCATCTAAATTTGCTTTGTCGAGTTTGCTAAGTTTAGGTACTTATATATAAAAACAGTTTTTTTCATAATTTTTTTTTTATTTTTTTTTGTGTCTCATTATCTTTTAGGACAGTAAAAGTACTTTGATTTTTTTTCAACAATATCTTTTCTGATCGGATAATGAATCTAGTTGATACTTTGGGGGGAGGGGGGGGGTCAAAAGTAAAAATTTTCCAGTAGTTTTCAAAAGCGCTTTGAAAAACGAATGAAAGATTAAGGATAAACGGAAATTTGTACGCAAAATCTATTTTCAAAAAAATCGATTTTGGTTTTTGGTGCAACTCTTAAACAAATGACCTTAGGTACATGACATTTTGACTGAATGTTTATTTTAGCATTTTCTATACACCATAACATTTTCCAAATATTTTTACTTATTTTGAGCTGTTTACGGACATTTTTACTTTCCATTTTTTTTAGTTTTTTTTTCTATAAATATCATTAAAATTTTATTTGTTGGTTAAAAAAGCTTGAAAATTTAATAGAAGGCTACTAGTATATTGTTTCAAAGGCAGATGAAAAAAATTAAAAATCCATACTCACAATTTTTTTTATAAGCATTTAAAGTTCAAATGTTGACAAATACGTAAAAATGACGAAAATTTGCCAAATTATTTCGAGTTAGAAATTCATAAAAAAATCTAAGGTTTGAAAATGTAATAAAAGATTCCTCATAAGTTTGTCTATCTTTATCAAGAAAAAAATGTCTACAAGAAACTCAAGTTAAATTTTTATGAGCGTTTAAAATTCATATTTTTACGGCATTTGATATTCACTTGATTTCTCATGTAACAATTTTCTTATTTTGTTAATTTGTTGTAATTAAAAAACGAATGACTGTAGATACTTGAAAATTTCACTGAATGTTTATATTAGCATTTCATATACACCATACAATTTTGAAAATATTTTGATTCTTTTTAAGCTGTTTACGGACATTTTCAGTTTTTAATTTTTTTAGAGTTAAATCATACGCTTTCATACAATATACAAACAGCACGGGGTCCGAGATCTACCTCAGGTAGATTGTCTACTTGATAATGTACTGCTGCGAATCAGAAATTTTATTCGGAACGGAAAAGTTTAAAAATATTTAACGGAAAAGTTAAGATAAGTTGTGAACACCGTACACTGAATATTAAATAACGAATTGAGCAAAGTTTGAGTCATATAGAGTTAACATTTAAAGGGCAACGAAGTGCACGGGATCAGCTAGTATAATTATATATTTTTATTACTACCTATATCATAATTTATTATTTTTATTTTATGCAGAACTGATGTCTGACCTAGATAATATTATTATTCAAATTATACAATTATACAATTATACAATTTATATTATTTATTACCTATTTATTGTTATTTTTTACAATTTTAAAGCTGCATCCAAAAATTAGGTATAGATTTGGGGATTTTTTTTTTCCGGAAACCCCAGGAACCCAGGTTTACAACGCCGTCAGCTGTATAAAACACCGACTTAAGATAGAAAATTTAAAGCTGAATAAAACCACTGGTAGCGCTGAAAACATTGGGGGAGGGATCTTAATTTGGTGGCCGACCATGTCACTAAGACAGTTTATATAATATCATATGTGATTACATCTCAGAATCTTACTATCTTAGTCCGTGATTACATAACTTAAAGCAAACACTATAGTGTCAAAAGACGAAGAGTCAAAAATCATTTTCTACTTTCCTAAGCCGAATATTACAGTTATATTATTATTCTCATTTGACAAATCGAATATTAATTATTTTGTGGCGTTCACAGACAATCTTGTCCGTCGACTGGTCGGTAGAGGGCCAACACTTGTGTAAGATTTTAGATTTATGGCAAACACAATTCGCGTCGGCGACATGATGAGCTCAAGTGGTGCGGTCGAAAGCGACGTCGGGAGTTCGATGCCAATGGAAACGGACGACGACGAAATTGATCAACTTGTGGTGAGTGTTACTGCTGATGGATAGTGTTTGATGATTTTCATATATTTACTCCCGGTGGTGATTTTATGCTTCATACGTTTTAGGCTCAAACTACCGATGTTGAAATGGCACCAACGGAAATCGCTCCCCTCGTTAATCCACCAGTTTCTGCAGTCGCGCCAATTCTAAGCTCATCGACGCCGTCAGCAGGAGCGCTAACCAACAAACTGTCCCCGACAGTGGTGGCTCTCAATAACAAACCATCCACGACATCTATTACACACAGCAATCTACTGGTACCTCAAGTCGCGCCTCTCATCAGTTCAACTACATCAACAATTGCTCCACTCATCAATCCGCCCATGTCTCCGGTTGTACATGTAAACCAAACAACAGTGTCTACAGTCACTTCTCTTAATAGCACGCCTGTGTCAACAATCTCTGTGCTCAATAACCCTTCTGTAGTGACAACCAACCAGCAAAATATTGTTATGCAACATCTCCAATTCCAACAATTGCAGCAACTGCAACAGCAACAACTGCAACAGCAACAACTCCAACAGCAGCAACAACTCCAACAGAAGCAGCAACTACCGACACAACAGCAACAAATCCAACTCCAACAGCAACAGATCCAACAAATGCAACAGAAACAACTATTAATACAACAACAACAAATAAAACATCACCAACAGCAACAAATAAAACAGCTACCGCAACCACAATTACTACAGCAGCTGACACAAGTAAGAATTCTGTTTTATCGAACTAAAAATATTAATGTTTCTAATACCATAGTCCTCTGGGGCACTGGCTTAGTTGCACACACGATTAAACATAATAGGTGCCATGTTTAATCATGGTTGCATATTATAACTTTAAAAACAATTATAACATAATATGTTATACATTTATAATTGTCATTATCCTTATATAGTTATATTTCTTAATTCTTTACACAAGACCACTTCATTGAGTAGCATAGCCAGGATTTTTCTGGGGGAGAGAAGGGCTGATAATTTGTTATATTGGGAAGGCATAACTCTAGTAATCCCTCATATGTTTGGTATGCTAATGTTGTGGTATATGACATTTTAGACTTTCAGTTCAGAAGCAACTTGTTAAAATTGTAGTACATCCATCTTATGTTACTACCTATTCTTATGTTATCCGTTCACAGAATACTGAAAAAACTTTTAATTTTTTCTTGTAATTTCATAGGGGGTTAAAGCCCCCTGGACTACACTACCGACATCAGTTTGGTTATTAACTTTTAGCCAGCAGAAATAGCTTCAAACTACTAATCTTTTTTAACTCAATTTTTACTTTCAAAAAGATACAATACAATTATTTAATTGAAATATTTAAAGATTTTTTGGTAGATACAATATTTAATTTCAATATTGTTATGGAAAAATCTAAATCTAAATCTGGCACCGCGTATAATGTGAAATATATGAAGTATAAATGCACAAATGTGTTCCTGGGAAACATTGAATTATTTAAAAATAATGGTATTTTTTCGTATATTCCACATCTCAACCTGTAGTAAAATGTACATTTTATATTTTAACTAATGTCTGTAAACAGTTCAAAACAATATTTTTTGAAAATTTTATCGTGTATAGAAAATGCTAATATGAACAACCAGTGGAAATTGCATGTATCTATGGTCATTTCTATTAGAGTTACACTAAAAACCAAAATCGATTTTAAAAAAACCTATTTTGCGTAAAATTTCCCGTTTTCCCTTAATTTTTCTTTTGTTTTTTCCAATGCTTCAGGAAACTACTGGGAAATTTTTACTTTTGACCCTCCAAAGTTCCAACTAGATATCGGTAAAGGTGCTGTTTAAGCAAATATAAGCATTTAACTGTCCTAAAAGGTGACAGATATAAATTTAAAAAAAAATACTTTGTTATAAAATCAATACATTCATCTCTCCTCTCAGAATCTAAAATATGAAATATTTGAACAAATACAGTTTAGCTCCACAGAGATTTTTGAGAATTTTTTTCTTCAAAATGTGTGGTTTTGCAAGTTTTAATGGTTTGCTTGTTAATGGTTTAAAAAAAGTTAGTTAATTTTTTTGGATGTTTAGTTCACAAATTTTCAAAACTTCAATACCATGTTCAAAGTTTAGAATACCAAACTATAAAATTGTTGTCTTAATAATATATTAAAAACACCTGATTGTAATAATCTGAAAATCAGTGGGGGTAATAAGTAGGTATTGATACTGATAACTGATAAGATATTCTAAAAATAAAGTGTCAACTACACTTTAACATAATCTATAAATTAAAAATAGTTTTGTTATGAATTCTACATTTTTACAGAATATAGTTAAGCTAATAAATTATATATTATTAACTTTTATTTGTGTACAGCAACCACAGCAACATCAACAGCTGCAACAACAACAACTACCGTTACAACAGAAGCAACAACTACCGACACAACAGCAGCAGCAACAGCAACCACAACTACCGACATCACAACAACTACCGACACAACAGCAGCAGCAGCAACAACAACAAGTAGTACTGCAGCAGCAGCAACAACAAGTAGTACAGCAGCAGCAACAACAACAACAACAAGTAGTACAGCAGCAACAACAATCAGTACAGCAGCCACAACAATCAGTACAGCAGCAGCAGCAGCCACAAACAGTACAGCAGCCACAACAACAAATGGCACAGCAACCACAACCATCATCGCAGCAGCAACAAGCACCACAACAACAGCAACCATCCCAACAAATTACCATTAAAAATTTGATAAATGTAGACAATGCAGCAGTATGTATTTTTCTAAATAACCCTATTATCCTATCACATATTATAAGTAGGTTAATATTATAAGTTGTTTAAATTGTATATCATAAAAGTAGTAAAGACTACACATCAGTCTCCACTATATATCTGCCTTGCTACTAGTAAAAGCTACTACAAAAATATCAACATTTTGCAAAGATGAAGTTAGATGTTTTTTCTGGGTGAATTAAATATTAGGTAGGTACATAATTACTGAAATAGATGGAAAATTATATCAGATATAAATATAAATAAATAATTTTTCTCAAAATCAAGAATTTATTGATTTTCACTCTAGTATTGCCCACATATTAAACCCTAGTGTAAAATTATGGAATACCGTATCATTAAAACCATTTAGTGGATTGCTAGTAGAAAATTCAGAAACTATAGTGACCAAATCAGCAGCACTTGACCCCCTTAAATTATACTGGATGAGTTAAAAAGTATCATATTGCCCCTCCAGATATGCCGACAGTAGAAATATTTTAATCTGTGAATCGTTTTTTTGATTCGACTACATTTTGAATTATGACTTATCTCAGTTCCAGAACAAGATCAGCACACAAAAACTAGTGTAGTCGTGTAGATAATACAAGTAACAACCTAAGCATTTCAGGAAAACTTAGCAAATAAATTTCACTTTATGAAGAGCAATGGCGGGACATTTTATTGGAACGACTTGCTCAATAACAATACAACATACCTACCCACATTTGTTCAATAGATGTACTTTTATGTGTTGAAAAATCCAAACTTATCTTATCAAGTTATGATTTTGGGGCCTATTGTTTGTATTTATGTAGTGTCACACTGTGCCATTTATGTCTTATTGAAACACGGTCAGGTTCATTTACTCGTCACATATAAACAAGTAATTGAAAAACTATTAATTTAGCCAAAACATTATATTCATTTAATCTACTTTGTTATAATATTTAGGGAATTTAACTTTAAAAAAATAGTTTATTACTAAATTTCATAGCTACCTATGTTTTGTATTGTTATCGATATACAATAAATTATGTTAAAATATCATTAAATAAAAAAAGTACAAAAATTAATAGTATTTATATTTATAGGAATATAAAAATGTCTAATTATGCAATTATGTAATTTATTCGTTAAAATATTTACTATAGATTGACAACTAAATATTATATTTGTAGGTTTTTTATAAAATAAAAAAATCCATGAAGGAGTACACTCAAAGCCCATTTTCTGACCAATTGAATTATTTCTAGAGGTTAGCTTAATGGTATAAGGAGATACATGAACGTTTAAACTATCATTGAAATTTATTGTGCAATGTGTCTGTTTAAAAATAGCTTCCTAGTTATGATTGTCGGCTCGGGTTTGTGTCTTTTACATCTAAAATATAATTTAGTATCTACAAAAAAGGCATGTGGGATGAACCCACCTCAGACTAGTATAAGTCCTCAAACCTGTAAAAGTCAAAACAAGACATCACTTGTTTAAATATTTTTTGAATTATAATATGAAGTAACTCAATAAAACATATTATTCGTGTATTTTTCAGTTGTTAACAAAAGCACGTTTGCGTGAATTAGTCAAAGAAGTAGATCCAAATGAACAGCTAGAAGAGGACGTAGAAGAACTTATGTTGCAGTTATCTGACGATTTTGTCAACGAATTAGTCAAAGCAGCATGCGTATTTGCTAAACATAGGAAATCAAATATCGTTGAAGTTAAAGACGTCCAAATTTACTTAGGTTACTATTGAAATAATTTTTAAAAACTTATCAAATGTAAAATAATTTTATTAAAATTTGAACAAAATCTATAACCATTGTAAATGTTTTACAGAAAGGTACTTAAATATGTGGATACCTGGTTTTGGCACTGATGAATTGAAACCGTACAAAAAAGCGCCAATCACAGAAGCACATAAACAACGAACAGCACTTATCAAGAAAGTTGCCAGTAAAAAATATTAATTTAAATGTTAATTTGTTACATGTCACTAGCATTACTGATAAGAACTTTTGGTTGTTAAGAACACCACATGAAGGGCTGATTAATATAAAATTGGATAAATGTAAGACTTACATTATTAATAAAACAATATTTTTTCATCATTAAAAAGTTTTGAATTAGCTTACGTTGTTAATATTATTCTAAACTGATTTTTTTCTGCTGTACAGTAGATTACAAGACAGTGGGTCACTGTAATGAATGGTGTTAAATTTGTATTCAATGATAAAATATCATTCTTTAAGAAAAACAATCAGTCAGTCTATGATATTACTAAGTATATTTGATGATATTATTGTGAATAAAATAATTTATATATAACATATTTACATGGAACCTTGTTTTACATTTTCAATCCTTAACTATAAAAATTAAATAATTTAAAATTTTGACAAAATTCTAACTTTAAATACTTATAAAAAAAAATTGTGCCTATGTATTAATAATATTTTTCAACTACTATAGAAGCATTGTATTAAATGTCAATGTTTTTTACTCAACAATTAAAATTATATGAACAATTATAGAAAAACAAATTTAAAAAAGTCGCTCTGCTGTACAGTAGGTTACAAGTGGATCACTGTATAATGGATGTTATAAAATTTGAATTCAATGATATAATACCATTGTATAAGAAAAATGATTATGAGGGGAGACGGTATGTCATTCAAGGTATAAAATATATTATATACTTATCTATTTTATTAAAAAAAAATTGACCTATAATAAATTCCAAATTAACCATATCACAATATCCATTAGGTACTTATAAAGTGTTTTACATCAACAACAAACTGTGATACTATCATAGATACATAATAGTGTACTTTAGAAGTTTCAAGTACCCACGAATAATATTATACAATCACAACAAAATAACTAAAATAAATATTCTAGGTTCTTTATTATGTAATTTCGTCCAAATTTGAACTTAAAAGGACTATAAAAATAAACTGTCCTTCTGTATTTTTTAGACCTTTTGGTAACAGAATAAACTATTTACGTGGAATCTTGTTTTAAAATTTCAATCCTTAGATATAAAAGTTGAAAATGTTATACATTTAAATGCTTATAAAAAAAAATTGTGCCTATGTATTTTTAATATTTTTCAACTGATATTGTAACAATATATCAGGAGCCTTGTATTAGATTTTTACACTTTTTGGCCCAACATATAAAACTTAATGATATTAAAAAAAAAAAAAAATTTTAATATGAAATTGTCGGTAAACAGCTCAAAACAAGTCAAAATATTTTGAAAATGTTATCAAGTATAAGAATTGATAATATAAACATTCAGTGAAATTTTCATATTTCTACAGTTATTCGTTTTTGAATTACAACAAAATAAGAAATTCACTTTATGAAAAATCGATTTTCGAATTATTTAATATGTGAATATCCAATATCGTAAAAATATGAAATTCAAACGCTCATAAAAATTTGATTTGCTTGAAGACATTTTTATTTTGATAGAGATAGACAAACTTATGAATAATCTTGTATCACATTTTCAAATCTTAGATTTAATAAGAAAAATTTTCACGAATTTCTAACTCAAAATAATTTGCAAATTTTCTTCATTCTTCTTACGTATATTGTTAATATTTGAACTTTAAATGCTTATAAAAATAAATTGTGACTAATTGTGAAAAAAAAACTGTGACTATGGGTTTTTAATTTTTTTTCATCTGCCTTTGAAACAGTATACTAGGAGCCTTCTAATAATTTTTTAACCAACAAATAAAATTTTATTGATATTTATAGAAAAAAAAACTAAAATGTCCGTTAAGAGTTCAAAATATTTGGAAAATGTTATGGTGCATAGAAAATACAATTTATAATATAAATACGTGACAGTTGACTAATATTTTTCAACTGTCATTGTAACAATGTACTAGGTGACTCGTATTAAATTTCAAGATTTTTTATACCCAATAAATAAAATTATTGACATTCATAGAAAAAAAAACTAAAAATATTGGAAATTTTTTCTGAAAAATTCCACGATTTTCCTTAATTTTTTTTTTTTTTATTTCACGGCGCTTTTGAAAATTACTGGGAATTGCAAATTTTTACCTCCTCAATGCACCAACTAGATTCACTTTCCCATCAAACAAGATATTGAAGATGAAAATCGAAGCATTATCTCGAACACGCAAATAAAAAAAAAAAAAACATACATTATTGTAAAATACTAAAATCAATACATCCGCTCAGAATCTAAAATATTCATGATGGTCAGTTGTAGACACAAGTTTATTAACAACGTATGATCATCTACAAAATGTTTCATATTTACTCAAATACATCAAATTAATAAAATACTCAATATTGAATATTATGACATTTGGTAAAACATTTAAGCGTTTAATTTATATTTGGTTTACACGAAAAGTCAATTGCAATGCTTATCTATAGTATATTGTAATTCTGTAAGCAATTTTGTGTTTTAACTTTTTATTACAACAAGTTAACAGTGTTTGATTAAATTTACTATCTACTTATTTTACTATTTTACATTAAACAAACATTTCTTTATAAATTATCAAAACAAACTTACAACAGCCACATAAATCAACAACACATAATATAAATATTATCAAGCAATAAGGTTTCAATGGCATAAACGTAATGAATTTTTTTATCGCGGCATGAAGTATTTTGATATATTGTCATCAATATTAAATGACATCTTCTAGGGACATAATAACCATCTTAAGTAATTCATTTGCTGGTTCAGAGTCAAATGAAATCAAACAATCCAAATTACCCAACTGCGGTGATAGCCCTAAAAATAGAGCCAATTTGGTAGCCAGTGGATTTTTATCCTCTATTAGTAGTTCGTTATCTGGTTGCATCTAAACATAAACATGGCAACATTAAAACTTAATATTAGAAAATATTTAAATAATAACATACTTTATCTGCAGTAAGCTTATGAACCTGACCATCAGATCCTAAATAGAATACTGAAAAACCATCATGCCACCTAGAATAAAATTTTATTATTTTATTTAATTAATTAATTGACTATTGAAGTTACAGATAGGTTTTAAATAACAAAGCAGAATTTGTAATAATATTACTTTATCTTGGTAGTATTAAATTATTTCTAAAAACCATAGTAAGCTAATTCTTCAATTTGTGTTATAATAGGAAAATAAATATGTAATTTAATTCCTAAACTAAACCCTAATATTTATTTAAACTATTGCAAAAATAGTAACATTGTGGAGTCTTGAGCATATTTTTGTATTAAATATTTAAGTACGTGGTAATTTTTGTCGAAATATTACAGTCTTAATAGTTAATGGCCAACCATAAAAATTCTTATAATAGAGAAATTCGTTAAATAGAATTACGCGAAAAAGATTGTGATTCTCAAAAATATTAGGCCAAACAGAAAATGTATTTAACTGGGAGTTTGTTGTATGGAAAATTTAATATAATTATGACTATGTTAATCTCTAAACTTATTAATAAATCTTATTAAGCAATAGGATAAAAATAATTCACATACGATTCAACATTTTCTTTAATGACTTGTTCCAAATTCCAAAGTCTGAATTTCCAAAACTTCATGAACACTTTCATTCCTGATATACCTTTGATTCTCCATCGTACTTTAATTGTTCCGTCTTCTGGATGTTTGGTTATTTTTAATATATCAAATTTTACAAAAGCATACTTTATATGGCCCATTAAACGTAGCAAAGAAATTGTTGTCATGAAGTATTCTAAGCCTCTAAAATCAGGTTAAATATAATAGCTTAAAAATTCTATACTTAGTAATCATTTTTTCTTTATTTACTTACACACTCTTCGTTCCTCTAATGTTATTCTCAAATACCAATTTGGGATGGTATAGTGAATAGTCCAAATTTTGTTTAAACATTAATGGTAACTACATCAAAAAATTAAAAAGAATAATATATTATTGAACATAGGTAGGTATGAACAGTACTATAATACAAGTTCAACGTCTTAGCAATATTACATATTAATACGGTTGATTACTTACATCTTCTCCCAACCTATTATACACATGATCGAGTTGTTCTAAATTTGGTAGTCCATTAGAACCTGATGTGTTGATATTTTCGTTAGACTTTGTAGAATTATCTGGTTTAAGCTCAGTGCTGTTACAGACATCGTTTTTGGGATTCGTGTGTCTGTTAAACCATTCGACAGCCGCATCTGCAGACTGTTTGTTTTTGACAGGTCGTACAATATAGTTGAGCAACGGTCGTGACTGAGGGAACAAATTGTCGGCATTGATCTTGCACATTGTCATCTCGACCTGAAAACGAAAGAGCCACCCCATTGTAGTTTCACCCTTGGCAGGACTGTGACCTTATCTGCGAGCAATAAGGTCACAGACTGAGCGGATTACCTGAGGTCTGGCCGAGTGCTGCTGAACTGTGTCCGACACTACGTGACCACCGTAGGCCGACGTCTTGGCCGTGCCCAACAAGTACTGATGACCGTTTCCGATTTTCGTGCAAATCTTTCGTACGGAGTTGGCCATGGTTCCACACTGGAAACCTACGCTGACGAACTCCAAATGCTAGGGCCGAGTTGAGCTGTTAGTAAGCCAGTAGGGCGTTTGTGACGCTCCTTAGAGACAGTTGACTTACATCGAAGGAAGAACGGCGAAATCCACAGGGCCGGCGGCACTGCGCGCGCAAAGAGAAATGAAGATATGTGCACGGCGAACTGTCGTACGGCGAACGCTGATAAAAACTGGTAAAATGTGACAACGATTATCACAAGATTCATGGACAAGTGCTTATCACTGCATATTATAAGCACCACTATCTTAAATCATGATACGCACACACTGAGATAGATAAGAATAAATTCAAAGATCGTGCTCATATATCCTTAACAGTTACCAACGTCCATATTATACACACGGTTCAAGATATAGGTACCTTTCATATTTGGCCCTGTTATAATATTATTAAATATATTAAATAAGCTTAAACATTTAGAACATTTTAGACCCTAAAGTTATGACGTAATCACCTATGCGGCTATGCAGTTAAATCGTGTTTATAATTATAGTACAACTAACCATGACTAAAGATAGATACAATGTTTATTTTTAGCCAATAGCTGTGATCCAGACTATAGCCGGATAATATTATTCAAAATGAAAATATACAAGACACTTGTCTTGTAATAATTATCATCGATAATATCAAAATTAAGGGAACGCTACAACCGCATGACGTGTTGTCTCCGTCTTAAAAATGTAAAACAGCAAAAACGGTTTAGCCCGGGAAAGAACCGAGAAGACTACACTACTACAGTGATAAGTGATAACTAAAAAACGAAATTTTCACCACATATCTAAAAAGGAGAACTTTGGCTATTAAATATATTTTTATTTTTTCGATATAGGAACAGCAAAATAATGTATTTATAATTTATTAATAAAAATCGTGTTAAATTAATGTGAAGGTAAGTAAGGTAAGTACTAAGTAGTATACATGGTGGTATATATAACAACACCCACAGGTTTTTAAAATAACAGTTATTTATGGCTTTATACTTCACTCGGCTATCAGGGCAATGCTTCTGTTTTCATATTCAATGAAATGTTAACTATTGTCTACTTTTGTATTTGTTAAGTTTCTGTCTATTTTTTTCCAAACTATACTTTTTTCCCCAGAAATCAATTTAGAGTACATCGTACCCGCATATGTATTGTATTGTCTCCGTCTTACAAATGTACAACATACCAAAAACTGTTGCGCAGCACGATTTTACTCCCTCTGTATTTATACTTTATAATAAATAGTACCAAAATTCTACATCGCGTTGAAGAACTTTATCTGTGAGGTTATTTGGATAACAATATAAAATAAATATTAAATAAATTAAAAGTTATCACTAATCAGTTTGAGAACATATTAATAATATTTAATAATATTATTAAGTCATCAGGTTTTCTCATTTATTTATTAAAAATTATTGATTAGTGGCTAGTGCTGTTTGATTTTGCGGTAGGTATTTAATTATTTTTTATTATCGCTTTCCGTTATAATAACGTTTAAACATTTCAATCGTTTTTTGTCAAATATAACGTTATAATCATAACAACGTTTTGCAAGCACCGGATTTTACTGCATTAAATTAACAGGCCACAGCCATAATTATAAGAAGGTGCTCTGCTGTACAGTAGGTTACAAGTGGGTCACTGTATAATGGATGGTATTCAATTTGAATTCAATGATATAATATCATTAATCATTGTATAAGAAAAACGATTCTGAGCGGAGAAGGTATGTCAGTCTAGGTATAAGACATATTATATACTTATCTATGGTATTAAAAAAAATTGACCTATAATGAATTCCAAATTAATCATATCCCAATATCCATTAGGTACTTATAACGCGGTATACACCAACAACATACCCTGATACTATCATAGATATATAATAGTGTCAGGGGCGGACTGGGCCGGCGGGATACCGGGAACTTTCCCGGTGGGCCACTGCTCAAAAATAATTTGTTATTATTATTTATTTATAATAAAATCAGTAGGTAGGTATAAATATAAATTATAAATATTTTGTATTTTCATATCATAACGGTTGAGTGTGAAAAATTGTTTATATTATATTAATTGGTGTATAAGATTTTAGATTTCGGTTCAGCTGATTGACCAGCCCTTCGGCATCAATGCATAATCACAAATTATTATTTATAACTAGGGTGTGAATTTAAATATAAATTGTATTTTTCTCTACATTTTCTTAAACATTGCTTTCCAATCAAAAAAATGTATTTCATACATAAAATAATTTAAAAATGAAATTTTTATTTAGCATTTTTTTAACTTTATTGATTTTTAGAACATTTTTTTGACGTTTTTATGACATTTTTATGGTTTGAAGGCATTTTTGGTAAATTTTATAAGTATAAATACAATTTTATAAACACTATTGCTTAAATTGATTCAATAAGTTCAGTATAATTAAAAATCATTTTTTTTTACTAATATTTCTATTTTATTACGTCTTATGTTTACTCCTATGACTTCAGTTAGGTATACAAAACAATACTTGCCAATTATAACTGTCAAAGTTTTTTATTTTAAAATATTAGTTAGCTTCTGACTGACCAGTGATATAATGAAATACAAAATTGAACGACTATACCTATTTAAGTTCTACCTATTTCATTTTATTTTAAATTGGCTTTTAATTTTTCTGGGCATTTTATTAAGCTTTGTAATATTGTAACTAGTGCATAAAATCGTATTTTAAGGCATTTTTCTTGTTTTTTTATTGTATTTATATCCATGCCCTATTTATAACTTAATATGACTTTATTAAACCAATCGATTAATATATCCACTTCTAGCCAGCCAGTATTCACTTAATTATATTACCTAATACCTAATATTAAATTGTACACAATAAAAAACATAATATAATAATAATTACATAATAAAAAAATATAAAAAATAATTTGTGATAATTTAATTAAATAAGCTGATAACTAAAAGGTACAGTTCCGTAAGTTTAATGTAACGTTCTTAATTCAAAAAAGTGAAATTTTGAACTTTTTTTATTTTATTGTAGTGTGTTGTTTGATGATTTTGTAATATTTACTTATCTATTTGTTGTTTAAAATGAAAACTAAAAGAAAGTGTGGGGTTCAGAAAATCATAGAGAGAGAGAGAGAGAGAGAAAGGATACTCTTAGAAATATCGAGTTAAAACTTAAAGTAGTAAGAACGACCTATGTTTTTCATCCACAGAAAGTGATACATTATACTATGCAGTATGTAATTAAGATAAAATACTAAACACATAGAGAATCTAAAGTTGTCTCCTGAGAAAATTGAAGATGAGTAGAGGATGCAACCCTCATTTGTTAAAACTTTGGTACCATATTTAATTCTTACATTTAGTGATGACGAAATGGTGAGGGCTGGTCAAAATATAGATTTCCCGGGCTGAATAGTTGCCCCAGTCCGCCCCTGAATAGTGTAATTTAGAAGTTTCAAGTACCCACGAATAATACTATACAATCACAACCAAATAACTAAAATAGGTAGTTATTCTAGGTTTTTTATGTAATTTGGTCCAAATTTGAACTTAAAATGACATAATAAAAGTAAACTGTGCTTATGTATTTTATAGATTTTTTGGTACCTATCAGAAATAACTACTTACATAATGGAATCTTGTTTTAAATTTGCAATCCTTAGATATAAAAGTTGAACATTTTATAAATTTTTAATTACAAAATAATTATTCAATTTTAAATTTGATAAATTTTGTTGCTTTCATAATTTAAATCGGAACATCCTACTAAGCGTAGTAATTGAAGTCACTGGCAGTAAAAAAATGTTTGTAATTTTATAAAGTAATAAGTGGTGACATGTACATGCGCGTAGGTAAAATTACAGAAGTAAATGCCTATAAAGTATAATTGATGCCGCTATATAGTACATAGTGTATTATTAGTTATAATAATAACAATAATATAATATATAATATAAATATATAATAATAATATAATAATAATAATTATAATAATATAATATTTATAACTTGCCGCTATTTTATACATAGATTAATACAAAAAAACGCTTATTTTAAGAAAACTATTATTTATATTTTAAAAAAGTGACTTTTAATGAAAAAAGGGGACTTTTAGTTGAAAAAGTGACTTAGTGGCAGCCCTGTAATTTTGATTTGTCACCTTAAGGTTTTATGCAATAAGAATACAAATTAATGGCATTTTTGTTACTGCCGTATATTGCTTGCTGACTAAAAAAACCCAGTCTACTTACGAGCGAATGTTTTACTGTTTTCTGGAAAAATATGCAGAGAATATTTTTCTTGACCTTATATGTACGTACATGTTGATTTCGAAAATACATTTTTGACGTTTTTTTACCTGTCGTTTTTTTCCGCGATTCTATATAAGGGTAGATACTTATATACTAATATTATACTCTCATAGTCCATAGATTTAAGATTTTATAATAATACACGCAGGTATTATGATTTAGTTATTAATTGACAATTCAGTGAATTTATCATCATATTCTGTGAGTTAGCCATGCTCAAACAATTATTAGAATAAATTCTTGTCTATGGTATCGACATATTTCGTAGAATACAAGAAACTGCTATAGAGCATTAGACACACTTTACAGTCACAAGTAAATTACCAAAGTCCAAGCCACCATCATACGTATTGGTGTATGTATGTAATTTTAAAATATGTAGAACACGGTCTTAATGTAGAACATGTAATCAAAATGTCATTATGTTATCGATTCTTTGTACCTTGTTTTTGTGCAGTGCCATTCAGTAATTAATTAACCTAAACATTCTTCGAATGCACAAAGACAATCAATGTAAACAATGAAACGATTATTTAAAAACAATCATAATATCATTTATTTGTTTACACGATCACCATTCGCCTATACCGATATGTTGTACATTTTCTAGTTTCAATTAATAGGTCATAAATACTTATAATTAAAAAGGTA